CAAACTTCGAGTAAAAAGCTTTTTTTTCGCCTTTTTTTTACACCGTTTGATAGAGCGTGAGCCCCTACTGGTGGTGGCGCTTCGAATCGCATCGAGAGCACCACGTATAGATCGATTTTGTAAACCTATCTAGTTTTTCTACGTAAGTGATAAAGGCAAATATTTTATCTCATTCGACTCATCATACCGTCAGTTACAAAGTTACGTATCCTTTTTTTTTCTTTTCTTTCTTGTGTTGAGAAAAGTCGTTTTTACTAGTATCATAGTCATTTCAGGCGGTATTCAAGGTTTTCGAATTCAAATAAGTCTTTAAGTCATAAACTAAATACAGATTCGGTATCAGCACAATAAACTGAGTCGAATGAAGTGTATTTCAAGTCAATTTGACAACTTTCATTTTTGCTCATTTTGTCAGGTATCGTCGTAGAGCTGCAATTATTGTATACCGGTCAAAAAATGAAAGTTGTATGTATGTAGACCGGAAGGAAGCATTTGCTATGGCTAAAAAGTAGATTCTCGTGATCAGTAGTTCACACTCTATCAAATGGTGTAAAAAAAGGCGAAAAACAACTTTTTACTCGAAGTTTGAATTTTCTGCACCTTATTTGTCTTGTTAACTATAAAGGAAATAAATTTAGCGGAAAACAAACTGAAGAATAGTGGGAATACATTGTGCGAAGCTGTACGCTCAGCGGCTGGAAGGGCTATCAGAATTTGAGAGAAAGGTCCGATATAATAAATTAATCGATAACTAGATGGAATTATCAGTTTTGTTGGTTTATTTGAATAAATCTGTTGGGACTGAAACTCAGATTGTTTTGTTTTGTCAAGGTTAGAGAAAATACAGAATATTTTGTTCTGTCTTTTATTTCATGTGCGTCGTAAAACAAGTCAAGCGTGAATTTCGGAGGATTTGACTATTCTGAAATAATCTATGGTCATAAAAAAATATATTTGTGCAAACTATTTGCTTAAGTCACTTCAAAACACATTTCATGGGTAACAGAAAATCTCGAGTTGATGCTGCTGAAACATTGATTGTTTCAAACAGGGAACGTGAAAAAAGATCAGAAGAACTTAGAAACGATGACGATATAAAATTAATATGGTGTTATGAGCAGCTGAATGCATCAAATGAAGAAATGAATAGAACAAAAGAATTATGGGGAAGGATTGGTGATTATGTGTGCTTTCATGAAAATCAACAAACTTGTATTGATTATATGAATACGATTCAAGAGAAGAGAATAATTGTCGTTTCATCTGGTCCATCAGCTCTAGAATTTGTAAAGAAAATTCATAGATTAAAACAAGCTATGTTTCGTTAAAGACGTACTTAAATTGTGTGTATTAAACGTCAAATCAACATGTCAAGCGTGACCAGTTTGTTCAACCTTCTCTCTCTCTCTCTTTCTCTTTTCTTCAGACCTTCTTAATGAAAGACCGTCAAGTTGATTCCATATTTATTTTCAGTCATTCAGATTTGGATCGACCAGATGAATCAGTAAGATTGCGTTATGTAAAAGTAATTGATATTTATACGGAAATTCATCTTCTAAGAGAAGCAATACGAAAGGACATCAATAGAATTGAAAAATCTCTAGCGGAATTTAGTTTTTATCAAAAGGAAAAGTCATTCACAGATTTAACTGCAGAATCTGGATCATTTTTATTTTTTCAATTATGTAAAAGCGCTTTGTTTAGTATGGAAAAAACAGACGAATCAAAACAAGAAATGCTCAGCGAATGTCGCCTGTACTATCATGGAATCAAGGAAGAATTAGACAACATTGAAGAATTTAATACAAAATATAAAGCAGAGAAGGCCATTTACTGGTACACTAAAGAATGCTTTCTCTATAAACTTGTCAACAGAGCTTTTCGAAAAGAAAACATTCCATTATTGTATACACTTCGTTTTTATATAACTGATCTTTCCAACGCGCTCGAAATGAAATTTAAAAAATGGAAAAGCAAGGAGGAAAATGCAAGATCGATATTAAAAGTCTATCGTGGACTTAAACTGACAACAGATGAACGGTCCAATATACAGAAAAACATCGGCAATTTAATATCATCTAATGGTTACTGGTCAACAACCCCTATGCGTAATAAAGCACTAGATTTTGCTAAAAACTCAAAACGTCCTAACGCACAAGCTGTTCTACTTGAAATTACTATGGATGTGAATTTGGTAGAAAAAACAATATTAGTTGATATAGCGGATGAGAGTGAGTTCGAAGAAGAAAAAGAAGTTTTGTTCGATTTAGGTAAGAAGATCTGATAAATGTACCAATTTGTATAGAATTTCTCTAAAGATATTTTAAGATTTTTACAGAAGCCTTAGGAAAAATTCATATACGACAGCAGCCTCTGTCGCATATGAATTTTTCTTATCCCGCCTATATATAAGTTAGGAATAAGACTTTTATATAAAAAAATCCATGAGATTTTTGTGAAAGTTTTACAAGAAAATTATATATAGAAAAAACCCTGTGTTTGAGTTAAGGGAAACCTAAAAATTTGAGCTGTTTGACATTTTTCATAAAGAATGCATATGGCTATAAGGATCTTGTGAAAATTTTATGCGAGCCTTCGTGCATGACGCTTGGACAGAGTTTGTTACAGACTGAAATTCTATAAGAAAAGAGTATGTGACTGCTATGACAACACAACTAATGATTGCTTAGATGTTTAGTAGCATGTTTGTATCCGTTACTTTTATGGGTGTGTGTTTGGTGTATATAACGTTTGACTTTGGGACCCAAACAGCCCGTATAATGTTTATGAATGCTCACATGTAGAAAAGGATAGAAATTTTTTCGAAACTAATTATAAAGTAATCGAAAGAAGCCAATGAAATTCAAGTGCGCTTTTAGTAGACCCGTTAACTATGTATGTTCGAATGAAAAGGAAACGTGTATCAAATAACCCATGAGGTTTTTTTTCTATAAAATATCGCCTTTAATCGCGATATTTTATATCTAATATCTCGATAGGCCTTAACTCTATCGAGACGCCACGTTAAACCGCGATAAAAAAATTTATCGCGATATACCATGCGGAATAAAGTTATCGGTTTCTGCCCCGATGAAATTTTTATCGAAATAAAGTCTCCATTATTGCGATAAAACATCATATCGAGATAATAATCTATCGGGATGGAAAGCGAAACCTTTATATCGTGCGATACGTCGCGATAAAGTTCCGTGTGGCGGTCTAACGTGGCGTCTCGATTTAATCCCTATCGAGATATAAAAACTGTCGAGAACTATGGCGATTACTAATTTTATCTCTATATAGTCCGATACCGTTGTCATGCTGCAATGTATCCTACATAATAAAAAAATTAGCAGTTTTTCATAAAATAATTTATTGAGTTGTATCACTGTTTTAGAAGAGGCAATGCTGTTGAAAACAGTACGATTATTGACTTTTCGACCAAGCGAAAGGCAGATGTGCTGAGAGATGCCAGAATAGCTGGAATAGGCTTCTTATTAACTTCAGCATCGAACTTGACGGATCACATCTTAACGGTCTTATCTTCGGGATGTGATCCGTCAAAGTCATAATGTAAGTCGTCGTTGAATAAACAAAATGTATGTATGAAAGCGGATAGGCGAAATAAAAAAAAACATTACATGGTTACCGACGAGACAGAGGAAAATATGAAGTCAGTACATTTGATCCTAGCTTCGTGCAACGATTTATTTAATGGGAATTTATACTCTCGCTTTCTTACTGTTTCAAGAAACAGCCTAAACCAAGTGTGCGAAAGATAAAGAATGATTAGTTTGAAAAGTTTTCCTAAACGGTGTGCGAAGGGAAAATCTTGCTGTAATCTTATCGTGATCCTGTCACACTTTTGAAACACAAACTGGAACGGGATCTCATTACTGATTTGATCAAGAACGCGATTACAATTATAAGATCGCGATTTTATTTTGTCAAGATCAACATTTTCTCGTTACACGAGACAAAATTGATCTCGCTGCCCTACTTATCTCGTTAGTACGCAATATCTCTTTAATTTCATGCAAAGGGTTTTCGTAATTTCTCTTCCTTTTTCTACGATTTTTTATCTTGTTACACTCGTTAATGCACCGATGTATCGATGAATTGTATTACTTTAATGCTGAAAAAATATCGGGAAATAATTTATTTGCCACGCATTGGGATACAGAAGAATATTGCGATAAATACTGACTTTATTGCCTTAAATAAATTTATCTAGCTTTATTGAGCTGTTCATATTTGAAATGTTCTCGAGATAATAAGTTTTATCGCGATGCATATTAGCACTAGCACAATGCTTTATTTTACCTCGATAAACATTAGAATTATTGTGGTAAGCTTCTTTATGGAGCAATATTTTATCTCGGTAGCGACCGATAAATTTATTTTGCCGTGATAGTTCTAATGTTAGATATTTTCTTGACTAGGTAAAATTATCGCCTCTAATCGACATATTTTATAGAAAAAAATCTCATGGGAAGAACTCATTCTCGTTTAGTATGTAAGAAGTATGGACACAAAATAGCAAACTATTGACCTAATGATTCCCAACAATACCTGAAACGCTTCGTAGATTATTTCTGAACTTTTAATGATTCCGTGTTTATTTACTGAGTCTCTAGGGGTTTCACAGATCAAAAGGTTTTGTGCTCAATGTACGAAACTAGAAAAGGTTTCCTATTTAATTTGGTGAATCCAAGAAGTTTCGTAAATAAATACATAATCTATTTCTATCTGCGTACGAAACCTGTTCAGACTTTGTTTGACAACATTCAATTTACTTTCCACCGACAACAGCAATACAGCTGTTTGTTTGCATTGTTAATATCTATATAGCCTTTAGTAGGTCTGCCTCTTAATTACCTTAGTCTTTCTATGTTTCCAAGAGGTATGCCCGATAAAGTGGGCCACTTTTGTTTTGAATTTTTTAGCCATTAAAGTACTGATTCAAGAGTCCACTCTAGGTCCAAAAGATAGAGAAAGTTAAATTTCGGGGAACGCGCGAAGATCTTTCCACGGACCTCATCTATAAAAAAGACGTCCTCGTAAAAATACAATCGCTAAACTCCGCTGAGCAGCTATTGATATGAAAAATAGCTCAAAATGTTCGTCGCAGCCTTCTCTACATATACTGATCTCACAAAGTCTCCCAACTCTAGGGATGCTGAGTTACAGGCTTTCCAAAAACCCTGGAGATTTTCGAGTATTTCGCAGTTTTCTCCCTCAAAAAGCACTTTTTCTTGAAAGTAAGGTCATATTCAGAATCAGCGTGAAAAACTGCATCGAATGG